ACCGTCTTATGAATATCGATAACAGATACGTGGAGATTTTGGTCAACATCGACGTCAGTCTCGATTGATTAAACGTTTTGAAGAAACAACAAATCACGAGAATGTGAAATCACTGTCTAGTACCACGATGGAAATGAAAAGAATAATTTAATACATATGCCCCGCAATAAAAGGAACTTCCAATTGATGTGCACCGAGAAAGTTTTTATACTTCTGAGCACTCGCGCACTCACTTGGTCCAGAAGAACATTCTTCCGCGCGTCGTACCGAAGGTGTTCCGAGCAAGTCCAAGCACCGCCACCCGTCATCCGTCACCCGTTACCCTCGTCGCCAGGAGGCGCTCAGTTTCACAAACCACCAGATTAACGAGAACGCACTACACGTGCGCCTATCGCGCTTAAATTGATTTTAATGCAAACCGTACTACTTATAGTTTTTCTAACGCTATTATGATCTTGCTATTTCCACGTTCTTTTACTTTTAATTATAAAATTATTATATACTGTCTACAATCGTGACCTTCTCCTTTCTATATCGTATATGTATATGTTTTGTTCGAACGCAATTCAAAGATTTCGGCAAACTATGATACTAATTCTGATCTTAGCTAAAAATAAGCATATGCCCTCCACATAGAAAAAGAACTAATCAGCTGCACCGAGTTCATTAAATCGATCTAATCTTATACCGCAACCAGTAAAGCCGATTCAATTTGATTTAACGAGCCAATGGATAAACAAATTATTCAGTATTTTACAACATTTTAATAGAAGTAGAATATTTACATTATTAATTAGAATTTCTTAATCGTTTTTTCTTTCCAATATATGTAACGTTACAGTTAAGCAAATTTAATGTTTTTTGTATTAACAATTACAAAATTAAAGTGTTTTGTTCGCATTTGATATACATATGTATAAAATATAGATATAATTACAATTAAATTGTTACTATTAGTTCCTATAAAATTATGGAAGTTTTATATTCAAGGAATTTCAATTGTTAAAGATATAATATAAATGATGGGTAAGTGTAATGAGGTACAGGGCTTTTATATATGTTAACAAAATTTCATTTGGTATTTATAGCATAGAAATAAATAAATAGTCAAATATGACTGAAATAAAGAACAAAGAAGATGTATAAAAGTTTAAATATTATCATTGCTCTCAATTCGTATGTAACAATCCTTCATCATTTCTGTTAATTGGATCTCCTTTTAATAATGCAATGATCATGCTGAAACATATAAGTTAAAAATAGTAATAAGTAGTAATTTAATTTTAGTAATAATTAATGAAATATCCAAAATATATATACCAGTAAAGATAAATAAAAAAGAAAATTAGGTAATATCCAAGATGGATCATACAGTCTCTTGCATGCCTTTTTAATTGTCCACGATTATGGATTTCTGTAGGATCATAAACTCCCATATTACCACTAGGTACTCCAAAGTATTCATAGAGTAACCATAGTGTCATAGGCAAGTTCACTAAGCACAATATTAATTGTCCATGTGTTAAGAGTAAAAATTCTAAGACTGAATGTGCTACAAGCTTTGGTACCACCCACTGTAAGATATAATTACAATTTAATTAGTACATTAATAATTAATTAAATAAACAATAATTAATCAGAAAAATAAGTAAATAATAATTATAATTTAGAATAAGTTTTATTATATTTAAATTAATTAATAATTGTAACAAAAGTGTATGTATAATTACCTTGTTTAACTTTGAACAACACTGTTGAGCATTCAAATAATCACATTCTAAATCTGATAGAGTTATGACCTATATATACTTTTAAGATAAGGAACCTCATTGTGCGTCTTTTACTAATAAAAGACATAAATTACCTTAAAAACGTCGAAAATTAGATATGGCGCCATTAGATTTACTGCAATATCATTAAAAAAAATTTACCACAAAAATCCCTAGACATATTTTCAATAAATTATATATAGAATTTAATAGTCGAATTATAAAGTTAAATACATAATAAAATATAAACACTGCAATTTTTCGTCAAACTATAAAATATAAAAAGGATACAAAATATACCAAAAGGAAAAGTACTGAACCGGTATCGATTAAAGCAAGTACAAACAACAGCGGCTCAGATATTAGACCCATTCTAATAATCTATTAGTTCAAACAAATAGATGTTAGATAACATTAGGATCGAATCTGATGATTCATGAGTGTCTTTCTTCGAGATAAAACCACTTAAAATGCTTCCCACGTGCAAAGTTCAATAAACCTAAGAGAAAACTGAAGTGACCGATTGTCAAAATCGACAAAATGAACAACTCACAATGTTGCCAACTATCGAGAATGTTTTCTAAGTTACAAAATAGTAAAATAATAGTCGTTTCAAACTAATATCCCTAGTTGTCGATAGCAATGAAATGGAATTTTCTACACCAGAGAGAAAGTTCTATACTAAATACTCACATTTTATACCACAGATAAGATATAGCATAGATCGAACAACTCAAACATTTTGTCTCACTGGACTGAAATACCGACTTAGGATAAGATCGGAAATATCGGAGATAGCATTGAGATTCCTATAATATTTGGCGATATATTTAGAAATTGTATTCAATTTAATCAGCAAAGCCAATAGGGAAACATATATAAAAATTACCATTTTCATATTTTTATTACTTTAATAATTATATACTGATGTTATATGCGAAAATTGTAAAAGAGCTTTAGAGTTTTCAGTTTGCGTGATTTGTAGGTGTTCACTCTATATATTAAATCTCATCTATGTTCATGTTATCAAATTAGTCAATAGAGCATGAAACGTAAATAATTACATACGAATTATTTATTTAATAAATTAAACTGTATATTTTTTACATGTAAATATAAATATTATTTATAAGTTATTTGTATGAAACTTCTAAAAAGCATTACAGAATAAGAGGTAAACCTGTCCTATTCTGTGAACAAATTTCATCTACATACAAATATTTGTTACTTGTAAAAACATATGTATAAGTATGATATAAAATAATAATTATAGGAATGTTTCGAGACACTCCAAAGATTATTATAGAAGATGGATCTTCTCCATCTGCTTCTTATATTATGTATGTTAGAATGGAAGACTTATTAGAAAAATTAAAATTGTTACATTATGATATTCAATTTTTACCAGAATTTAAAATAAAGGCCATAAATAGGTAATATTCATTGTATACAAATGTTGTAATCTTATATTATATGAATTGGTAAAAAAAATATTGATTTGAAATATAGGAATTATTTTGTAACACAAACAAATCCAGGAGAGCAATTTTATACATTCACATCATTAGCTGCATGGTTAATTAGGAAAGCAGGTGGGAATTTTAAAGCTCCGCAAGAATCAGATGATCCTAATGCTACAATAGCTATAATCTTGGACTATTTAAGAGATATTCATGTACCAATAGAATTTCCACCCAATAAGCTCAAACAAGGAAGTGGTGAACATGCCATTTATGTCTTAGATAACTTAGCAGATGAAGCATTGAAAGCACAAAAGTTTCAATGGAAGAAGTAAATTAAAATAAATATACTTAATAAAGACAATATAAGTATGATCATATATTACGCAGGTAAACATTTCTAGAGTAGAAATATCACCTGACGAACCAAGTAACGAACCAGAGATAGAAGATGATGATGCAGAATTAATTTTAGAGAAAGTAGAAGAGGAAATGATGGCTGAGTATGATGATGAGGATGAAGATATTTTACATGTTGATGATATTACAAAATTATATGGACAGAACTTTGTAAACATAGTGATAAATGTATTTATAAAATGTAGAAATCATATACTTTAACTTTTTGTAATTTTTTTTGTAGAATGAAATGCAAAAACCTGATGATATTTTAGAATCTAAAACAAACAGAGAAGAGTGGCAACTAGAATTGGAAAGAGTTTTACCTCAACTCAAAGTAACTGTAAAGACAGGTATAAAATATCCAACAAAATATTAAAAAAGTAAAATTAATGGGAAAGATCTATTTCAGATTCAAGAGACTGGAGATCACATATAGAGCAAATGAAGCAATTACGTACAAATATAGCAACAAATTTAACTGGAACCAAAAATCAACTAGATAAACTACATATTGATATATCTAATACTCTAGACAAAGTAAAAACGAGAGAGTCCTATTTAAATAGGCAACTTGAACCTAGTTTGAAGGAATATCAAATGCTTCAAGATGAATTGTCGAAAATTAAGGAACAATATCGAGATACTAGTGGAGGTGTTACAGAAAGAACAAGAATTTTTAATAAATTAACAGAAGAATTAGAGCATGTAAAGAAAGAAATGGATGAACGAGGATCGAGTATGACAGATGGAAGTAAGTAATTTCTAAGCAATTTTATAATGTTATATAAAATATGTCTTAAATATCGATATTTTTTATAGCGCCGCTTGTAAATATAAAAAAGACAATTACTAAAATGAAAAATGAAATTTCCGAAATGAATATTCGAATTGGCGTATTAGAATATAGTTTAATGTGTGCAAGAATACGTGATCGCACGCAGTTGCAAGAAGATATGAATAATCCAAATGCCACCACAATAACTTAATAGATAATATTGATTATATGAACCTTTTTTAGCAAAACTTAGCAGTATTATCTTCTTTTCATGTACTTAAACGTAAGTTATGTGCTATTTGTTTAGTTTCTCACTAATAATAATCTTTAATAAGGGTCCAATAAAGCATTTATCTCATCATAGTCATCATGTTTGTAAAATTTGTATGCACCAATGTATCATATAATATTTTTATGATAAAATCATATTAAATGAAATTGTGCAGTAATTAAAAATACTTTTTTGTTCCTATACTTGCTTTCGAAAGATAGTTATTTATAAAGCGTAATTCAAAATACGCGGTCTCTTTTAGTATTTGATCAGCTGAATACTTCGAACTGATAACCGGGATAAAAATGAAGGAACGTGCCAAAGATGAGCTGCTTACTACAAAACGATCCCTTTCCTTTCGGTAATCTCTCAGTTGGCGTCGGCCTTGCGAAGTGTTCGCTCGAAAACATGCGCAAGCCAGTTGTGTTATAATATTTCGTTATCATTGGATGTGATATCTCGTATACATTTTAATCAGAGTGCATTTTAAAAACGTGGCGGCCTTTCATCACTAGTAGTATCTTATAACGCTACTAGGTCTATCTTCTAATAAAATTCATTCAATAGTCGAACAGGTTTGTAAATAAAGTCATACGATTTGTTTCACATCCACCACTTCGATCAATCAGCTTTTTACTTGCATTTGTAGTTCGTAGTAGTACACGCGTTCTAAATTTTTTTTAACGTAATTAACTGGTCATCGACGTGTATCCGCTGTACCTTGTTGCAACAAAAGCTGTTCATAATTAAAATAATAAACTAAATAGTATAAAATTGCATGCGTTATTTTACACGAATCAGAATATAATAATCGAAAATATGCATAAATGTAAAGTGTTATTAGAAAGTCATTGACTCTTCCATCTCTCCAGCAGGATGCACTTTCTTCTCAGTTTTAAATAATGCTTTACACATTTACAGTACTTATCGATCTTTCTTCAACTTTCACCGATATTTCTCCGTATGTATTTAAACAAATTTACTTCCTTTTAGTCACATTCCAACGAAACATTACTAATATCAGAGAGAAAATTTCTTCTCTACTAATATGCTTACTCTTAAATAGATTAGTTAAAGTAATCGATCAAATAGTTTCACTCATTTACTGAAGTAGAGAAAATCGCTATTTTTAGTTACTTTTTATGAATTTCGTATTGCTGATTAGTCTGATTATTAGATATGTAAAAACATGATGAAATCATCATGGTTCATAAGTTCGGTTTAATTTATTCTCGTTATACATAATTATGCAACATAATGTACGTAAAGCGCTACAAGTTTTCTGAAGATAGAATAGTTAAGATTAAATGGGTAACACTTGACTCATTAGAATATACAAATGCTACAAGAAGTAATACACCGATTTACTCAAATAATAATGTCACATAAACTCATCGATGCAAATGCGATGATGATCGCGTTTTGTAGATAAATTTCACCGCCTACTTTACAATCAATTTTGAATATTAATCAATCTCGAACTTTGTTCAGTACATAATAACAAATAATCTTTTAATCTAATGGAACAAATTGCTGATTTTTAATTCATTTTGATAATATAGATTACATTTTAACTGATAATTTAATAAAAAATATTTTTATTTTAGATGGATAGATCTTGTTATTTATCATTTCTTGAATGTATAATATGTAGAAAACAATAAAATACTCAATCGGTGAAAATATTCTGTTTCGAACTTATTAATCATTGCTTTTTTCATTTCCAAAGAATCTTCAGAACTGCGTGACAGTTTCGTTAAACTTTGTATGACAGATGAATTGCTGATTTTTAATTCATTTTGATAATATAGATTATATTTTAACTGACAATTTAATAAAAAATATTTTTATTTTAGATAGATAGATCTTGTTATTTATCGTTTCTTGAATGCACAATATGTAGAAAACAATAAAATACTCAGTCGGTGAAAATATTCTGTTTCGAACTTATTAATCATTGCTTTTTTCATTTCCAAAGAATCTTCAGAACTGCGTGACAGTTTCGTTAAACTTTGTATGACAGATGAATTGCTGATTTTTAATTCATTTTGATAATATAGATTACATTTTAACTGATAATTTAATAAAAAATATTTTTATTTTAGATGGATAGATCTTGTTATTTATCATTTCTTGAATGTATAATATGTAGAAAACAATAAAATACTCAATCGGTGAAAATATTCTGTTTCGAACTTATTAATCATTGCTTTTTTCATTTCCGAGGAATCTTCAGAACTGCGTGACAGTTTCGTTAAACTTTGTATGACAGATGCAGAATTTCGATTTGCCCCTAATAGAAAGTTGATTATCTTTCATAATGTACGATTTAAAGGCATATAATGATATCTGAGTAAAGTACCATCAGAGTAAATTTTTTTATAACTAATTCAACATAAGAATAAAAAGTACGCATAACAGATAAGATAAATAGTAATAAACAGATAAGATAAATAATAGCAAGGAATAATATGAATAATGGTATTATTATACTTAAAAAATAAACATATTTTTCTCTATGAATAATCATGAAAAAGTAATTGTCGACATAACAGGAGGTCACGGAAGACTTTTACAAAATATTGCTAATTGAAAAAACTCATAAACAGAATTTTTAATGAGATTGATTTTCACTTTATGCTGTGTAATGATCTTATAAAAACAATTTTTAACAAAAAGAAATATTTCCGTATGTACGTTTCACTACTGCTTATGATGCCGCTGTAAATTAATAAGTGAAATCACTGGAATTTCGTAAATACAGAATTATGAAATTTTGTGCTTATAGGAAATAAAAATGTATTTATTTGCAGTACGTGGTTCTTAAACTTATAAAGGAAAGGAAACACAGTGGAACATTGAGAGATAATAAGTTTTCAAATATTAGCGCTTATATTCTGAAATACATTATGCGCAGATATTACCATATTTATTGTCTGAACAAACCATCTTTGTTTTGCATAAGTGAATTTTTCTCGCTAACTATATATTACAACAAATATATTCAAAATGTTTCTTAATGCAATCTCAGCGCTATCAGTCTTTTATATATTTGGTATTACATTTTTAATATTTATTCATTTGAAAGACACCTATAAAATGCTACCTTCATCTTGTTTTGGTTGTGTTACATACTAACCATAACATTTATTTGTGAATGTGCATACTGATTTATATTACCAAAAGTGTTTAAAATATGGATTGTATATTCAAACTTGAGCGTACAAAAAACGCCGCAACTACAAACGTTAATAAATATTCAATATTTAATCGTAATTGTATTCTTAATACAACAGAATGTGCCCAACCAAGATTAATAGACAATTAAAAAGCATGTGACATTATAACATTATACATTATACATTATATATTAATAACAAGCATCCTTCGCTATATAATCATATTTAACAACTTTGGTAAAATATTTTGATAAGAAGTATTATCTTTTTCAGGCCAAAGAAACCAGATAAAATGATGACGATTCGTAAAAAACTTCTTATAATTTTTTCAATAGGTTTAGTATTAACAATTATTGGATTAACTACTGGAATTCTTTGGTTTATGATTTATTCATCGATTTTAAACACGGTAGATATAAAAAAATTTTACCTACAGCTATAATCATTAGTTAAGCTTTACATATTATTTTATAGCAATTATCTTTAACACCAACGTCTACAAGCTACAAGCTGTGGGAAATAACGCCAATTCCTATGTATCTGAAAATATACATGTTCAATTTAACTAACTATGAAGATTTCATTTCAAATAATGAATCTAAAACAAAACCAAATTTTGTGGAAATGGGTCCTTACGTATTTAGGTATTAAATTTGTGTCAAATATTATAGTTTTTATTAATTAGAAGTCAAACAACATCGTACAAATTTTATTAACAGGGAAGTTGACTATAAGGTAGAACAAAAATGGCATGACAATGATACCATAACATATCAAAGGAAAAGGGTATGGCATTTTGATAAATCTCTATCAAAAGGAGATTTAAATGATAAAGTAACTAATATAAATCCTGTAACTGCTGTATGTATCTTTTAATAGTACACTATATAGTAAGTGCTGCTCTATCTTATTACAATATGTCCCTTTTTTAACATTCTCAGAGTGTCGGATATGCATTAAGACATAAAAAACCTATTCTCCGTGATATAGTAGATAGAATAATGAAATCACTAGGACAACAGTTAATAATTACCAAGTCTGTTAATGAATTACTTTTTGAAGGCTATGAAGATACTATGTTAAAAATAGCACAAAAAACTAATTTCACAGAAATTCCATTTACCAAATTTGCTTGGTTTTATGGGGTAAATTTCATGTTAATATTATTAAAGCAGAGACATAACTGAAGAAGCATACTTATAATATTGTCTTGTTCACAGCGAAATGGTTCTGCATCCTATGATGGAACATTCAATATGTTAACTGGTAGATCTAATTTACTCGATGTAGGAATAGTCAAAGAATGGAATTTTAATAACAGAGTAAGTTATTATCCTGGAGAATGTGGAGAAATAAGAGGAACAAATGGTGATTTGTGGCCACCATTACCTGATAATAAAACTGTATCTTTCTTTGTACCTGATATTTGCACGTAAGTTTAGTAATGAGTTTAACTTTCTATTAGGAATGCTGAAAATCAAATAAATACATACTTTTTTTTTGGGTAATTATGTTAATAGGAGTATGTCAGTAACATATGATAATACAACTATTCACGAAGGATTAATAGGAGCTAAATATATTAGTGACGATACAACATTTGACAATGGTTCAATAGTACCATCGCGTTCGTGTTATTGCGAAGGAGAATGCGTTCCCTCTGGAGCATTAAATATTTCATTATGCAAATGGGGTGCTCCAGCATTCATCAGTTTACCACACTTTTATTTGGCCGATCCAAGTTACAGGGAAAATATCAATGGAATGAAACCTAGTAAAGAAAAACACGAACTTTCAATATCCATAGAACCGGTAATTATCGCAAAACAATAAGTATCAATTAACAATGACCATGTCATACTATATTATACAAAGAAAAATTTTTATAGAAAACGGGCGTTCCACTGAACGTGCATGCACAACTACAATTAAATTTGTTGATGCAACCTGACCATGAGATGTCGTAAGTTCTTATTTTATCTTTTTACTATGAAATATAAATATAATATAACAAATAATATATATGTAAGTGAAACTTAAGCATATCTATAAAATATCATTTTCAGCATGTTTAAGAATATTAAAAAAACATTTATACCAATGTTATGGTTTACTCAAGAAGCTTATCTGACAAGTAATTATGCTCATATAATTAAATTTATCATTATTTTGGAATCTCTGGGCAGCATAACTTGTTATGGTATTGCCTGTATTGGCATTTTAATTATTTCTACCGGCATTTTTTTGTACATTAAGCATGGTTTGGGTGAAGAAGAAAATCAAGTTTTATTGTCAAACAAATCTAATGAAAATGATGATATTGGTACTGTTAATGAATGATTGATTATATTTGCAAGCATATGATGAGATTATATGGAAAGATATAATCAATGTCAACGAAATAAGAAACAAAAACCATCTTCGAAATCTTAGAGTGTATAATAATTATGTATGTAGATTACAAATCTTACTGTATATCTTTTGATTGAAATTGATATAACAAAATTGAAGATAACATCAAGTTGATCGTAAACAAAATTATATTCATACGAAGTTAGTGTATTGTTCAAACTGTTTATAAATATGCTTTAAAATGTAACTATAACAGCAATCAAGTGCCTGAGTGCTTTAATGATAACAATCGTTAGAAATAGCGTAAAATACAATAGATTCCTCGAATACTTAAAAGTGAGATGCATATAATAGCAAATCAATATTAATATAAGTTTCCTTTTGTAAGCGAGGGATAGAAATATATTCCCAATCTCTTGTATAATATTTTCTTAGTACCTATTCAAAATATGTATTATATTGTAGGTATGTATATATTTTTATCTATGAAATCTGAAGAAATAATGAGTATTAGAATCACATTCATTAAATTCAGTTTATATTAATGTTCATCATATAATTAAAGTTATAGCAATTACAATATTATTACAGCTGTGATAACTACAGTCTTGTTTCATTAGAATAAGAATTCTTAGAAAATAAAAGACATTACTTTTATACAATACATTGTTGAAAGTAAATTACATATATGTATGTATATATTTTCTTCGTATCATGCCCTTATTATCCCTTTGGTCTATCTTCTTGAGAAATCACTCGTGTAACTTCTAGATGTCACTACTGTTTAGTTTTTTAAATGAAAAAATACATTTTCTACCGTATTGCGGTCTGATAAAATTCTTGTATAAAAAAATAGAAAAGAACGATGAATTAGCAAATTTTATTTTTTGCATCAAATAGTCTGGCTTTTACTAAACAAAATAGATATGATGAAACGGTTGAAATTGACTGGTAAAATGACACGCCACGGCAATAGTAGTCAAACATAAGAATTGTAGAAACCTCGTAAATTCATTATTCATCAAAATTCTTGTAAAAAAAAAAAAACTTCGGAAGGTCTTTTAAAAAGGGAACCATTCTAATTACGCTCTAAACTATTTTTACATTTAGTACCTGCAGTAATATTACTGACACAATGTATAAACTACCAAAATAGTTCTTTCTTCGTACCTAGACCACCAATTAAATATGAAAAAATATTTTGGTCGAGTACATGCAGATCTACAAAGCAGAATGTTTTATCGATCGGCTGTAAAGTGATTTCATTATTCACGTGTAAAAATAAAAGAATCCTTCGTTCGAGAATAGCCGCTTTCCGCTGTTGATTCCCTTTTTTCCACTGCCATGCAATGTACATATTATTCTTTCAAAAGATGGCGATACAGACGTAAATTTTTCAAGCGCGGTAGAAAATACGGAACGAACGAAAGGACATGAAGCAAATTAGAAAAAAGTACTGAACACCTTGGAAGTATGTAGTTTCAATTTGTCATGCACAAGCTCGCAACTCGTCGCATATTTATACAAACTGAGTATACGCTAAGCAACGATAGTTTACTTTGATCCTATCAATCATAACGCACACAACTTTTTTGTATGTCACGTGCGTAAAACGATCTAATCGTCATTGTCATTTCTCTAGCGTAGAGAAACAACGATCGATCGTTCGTATTTACGTACTCTATCTTCAAACGTATAATCGCAATAACGATGGGGCATTATTTTCAAATAAATCAGACTGTTCGATCGATACTCCTTTCGAGGAAATTAACATTCGCTGAATGTATTTTATCAAAGAGAAGAGTGCCTTTACGTTTCTCGCTTGCTGTGTAAAATTCAACAGACAAGGAAGAACCAGCACCCTGAAAACATCGTAAGACGAGCAGTCGAGGTAAACTGAAAGCCTTTGCTCATTCTAGTGTTAAACGATATTGACGTTTGCTCACGATTTATGCGAAATAGTTCATAAACATTATAGAGAACACAGAAAATGTTATAAAATGAAGAATATCTTCTAGATCTTTGAAGTATGTTAAAAACGAAAAACAGAGGTAACGAACAGATCTGAATAATGTCAGAAAAAACACACATAGCAGAATATTTTGTAAGTTTCGCATGAACCATCAATGTCAAGATAAACGTGACAGCAAGATAGGAAAAGGCTGACTCTGAAAGGTTTATTGGGTGCAGAAATGATAAATGAGCGTGCGATCAAACGAGTTGGCGGACTAACGAGGGATTGTATAGTGCGTACACAGCCGAAACCTTTGCACCCCTAAATTTTCAGTATCACGCGGGAACACAAAGGTTAATCCGAACGGTCAGTGAAAGGAATCCTCCACTGGAATGTAATACTCTCTCAAGCTACTTTTTATTTTCCAAGGATTTCGAAGGATATTGACGCTAAGGACAGTTAACTGGCACGGGACGAACTTAGAATTTTCTATTGATCGGAGCACGCATAAAATGCCGCACAAAATATTACGTTAACGCATTAACGTATTTCCTTTGTCCGTGTGGCTATCACGAGCACAGGCTATTTACGATTCAATGACTATATTTGAGCGATGTTTTATTGACTTTTATTTGACGGAGCTTATACTTCTGCATGAAATACAGTCGAATCTTTTCGAAGACCATTTCCGATCAAAGTCGTCGTAAAGTTGTATTTGGCCGTAAAATCAAGATTGCAATTTAATTTTACCTGGTAGAATTTATTGACAAAAATAGATACACACGTAACGCTGCTGCAGAGCGATTAAACAGTAGAAAAAGGATTGAAATACCCAGAAATTCCAGCACATCCAACGACTATACGTTGTTTGTTTAACGAAAAGAAAACATGAACGTTGCAAACGTTTACCACTTAACGTAACTGGAGGCAGCGATATAGGATTGCTCATTTCAGCTATACTTTTATAATTGTCTTCCTTTAATAACAGGCCACTCTGTCTTTTAATAGAAAAACAAAAACAAAAATTGGCGAAAGAGTAAGAATCACCAGGTACTCATCAGGCTCGACATGGGAAAATTTCAGGACAAAATGTGACATCGACTAGTACTAGCGCACCTACGCGCGCTCGTTAAAACGACGTACATACCTCAGTTTCGCAGAATCCGTCGTCGCGTTCACATCCCTTTCCCGAACTGGGACCTTTTCTAACAAGTCGACGTGACACACATCACGCCACATCTTCGACAAACCCTGTGATACATTCCCTTTATCAAACAGTGGTTTTACATTGTTATTAATGTAATGTAAAACTTTGAACATGCGGTGTTTTACCATCTTATGCAGACAGTTGCAAAATTCTGTGAAAATTAGTCACTCGAATACGTAGAATATTTACTACCAGAAATTTGCATTAAACAACGATGAATACTAATTTTCGTATGAAAAACAATAGTCCCATAAACGAATGCGGTGTGTAAAAGCAAGTGACTGTGATATGATTTTGAATAAAATTGCGGATATAGTGAGGACGACGCATATGTTTCAATGCCAAGTAATAAGTAAGAAATAGGCGATCGCGAATTAAAAGGAATCATAAAAATTGAATAACAAATACGCGAAGTAACGTTGCATGCGCTGCATTTAAAAGTTTACAGAAAATATTCGGGTCTTGCAAACTTCGTTGAACACCGTGAAATGAATAGTTGGTTGGACTAATATGAGAACAAAGGGAAAATTTTGATGATCGTAGAATTCTTTTTCTCTTTTTAGACTTTCGACGAAGCTTGTGCACGCGATATTATCTGTGAACTGACTCCTTTAGTTTTGTCCGAGGACTACAGAGAAAAGTAAGAACAAAGCGACAAAAGCTTTCGCGTACTCAAACATCTCTCGGAATTTGTGCGAAATCAAATCGATTAATCTTCGGAAATTTCACTTGCCGCTTTGTCGCACCATAAACAATGCGGAAGTGACGAGCGAAAAAAAGAAACGCACCGAAGTTTCCATCGAATAAATCGAAATCCTCCACAATTGATGCAAATCCGACAGATTTATGACAATTTATATTTCCGTTGCAGAACATGTTGGAACGAAGTCGGAAACATCGTGTCGAATGCCGCGTTAAAAATATTTCGAACGTCTATCATTTTTCCACAAGTCCATACTGCGGTAACATTCGAATCTTGTAGAAAACAAACATAGTAATACCGTATATCCTGAGAATTTGAAATTAAAAGAAATCGATGGAAAAGTGAACCGTAATTAGTGGATTATTATAAATGGACAATTCGCATAATTTTTGTCCCACGAACATCACGAAATTGAATTCTATTAATGCTAAACCATGAACCGCATAATAAACGGTGCTAGAATGGTTTTGACACCTTTCTGATTAATCGGCATGTTGGTTGTCATTGTCGATTCCGACACGTCAGAAAAACGTGGTAGAAAAACCCGTAAGATTAGTAGCATAATCGAGTGGTTCTTTTTCTCTCAAACGTCGTGCGTCTCGGAGGGAAATCAGAAATCCAAAAAATTCTTGTTGGAAAGTTTTCACAGCGAAGCAACGGAATTTCGAGTTTGTATGAAGAATCTGAAACGCGAATACGATGCTTTTAGCGCTTTTAACCGAAATTTATTAGCGGAGGCTAATGATTTTTCGAGCGGAACGACGATACGATCAATTAATAGACACCGTGCAATTGCGTTACGATCTCCGTACTATAAACTGCACCATGGTGTCGTAACGCCACAGTAACTTCTACTCAAGTACAATTAAAATTTCGATTAAATTATAGTTTCCGAGCGATGCTTCGTTAAACTTAACAGCAATGTTCATTTTACTTGCGGAGAACACGATCCAGAAGATTTTTTCTATTTAATCGCCGATCGATATCGTCTACCGTTTCGCGAATAGCCACGATAAATCGCTATGCTGATCGAAAATCAACATGATCGATTCGTCGTTGGCTTCTGTATTAACTTCTACGAGAAAAATTCCTTTCGCTACTTTCGAACAATTTCACCGCTATCCTGTAATTAAATTTAATCTCGAACTTTCCCTCTAGAGCTCGGTCAGACGTTAGAAGTAAAATCGAAAAAAGGAGGGAAACCGTGGGACAATACTTCCGTTCGAACGAGATAAAACGCATCCCACCGAGGTACTTCTCGGTTTTCCAATTCTTGTGGACGCTGCTTTCTTTTTTTACGAAAGAGTAGGCAAAAACTTACCATGGTATCGACTCGACAGCAAATTTATTGTCTATCCGCAGACTGGAAAATCTGGTAGAAGAGGAGGAAAAGAAAAGGACCGAAGCAGGGTGAACTTAAGAATCATTTTCTATTTGTCGAGCCATTAGTCGGAAGAAATTCATTAGACAATTCGACGCTTGGGAAACCGGAACACGTGACGGCCAAAACTTTCTTTGTTAGTCCTGGTTTTCATTTTGGTGCCAAAGAAGTCTCTTTTCTACAGTAGAAACAGGGAAAGAAGAACGATCCACTCTATCTAAACCATTCTACCAAGAATCAAGTGTTCTGGTGGTTTGCGATATTAATTGCATGGAAGCTGGCGTATCAGTGATCAATGTTAGAAGATGACGCTGATAAAGAAATAGAACAAGGAGAGTCGTCTTTAATATCATGGAAATCGGAGACAAGTAAATGTCACTCGGCCACAACAGAGGAAACGAGGCGAATCGGATCGAAGCGACAACTTTTCCGCCGTGTATTTCTCCCTTTTCTTCATCCCTGAACGCTAAACGTTTATTGAACGAACGTCGAACTTGAGAACGTTCGAAATGGAGACTGAAAGCAGCAATAATCTATAAAAAAGGGAGTTGTTTGCTAAATTCTCCCTAAGAGGGTTCGTGCTTTTCGATATCAATAACGTATGAGGGATCCTTAACAGAGAAAAAGAAAGATGCATCCTCTTGAGTTAGTGATCGTGGGATGGCTGGCATTGGTGATATCCACGTTGGTCGATGCCATCGATTATTTGGACGACTACTCAGCGATGGATTACACCGACGAATCGGACATCGATTACAATACCACGAATTGCACCAATAGTTATTGTATCTCAAACGAAGAGTACGTGGATCGTATGATAAATTATATATTCCCCAAGTTTTGGGACTGGGTGTTGATCGCGTCGCATAGCGTTGTTTTCGTGGTCGGCCTAGTCGGGAATGCGCTAGTTTGTATCGCGGTTTACAGGAACCATTCTATGAGAACGGTGACAAATTATTTTATTGTCAATTTAGCTGTGGCCGATTTCCTAGTTTTATTGCTTTGTCTTCCGTTCACCGTACTGTGGGACATCACCGAAACCTGGTTTCTAGGTTTGACCTTGTGCAAAGCCGTGCCATATCTCCAGGTATGACAATCACACTTCATTTATTAGATTAACATTTATCTTTCGTGCGATTTTAATTGAAAAAGTCACAAGAAGCAAACCTAAAAAGAGAAGCAGCTTTTAAACATCCTAAAATGTTGCATTCACGCTTCTCGATATTTTCTTTCTGGAGAGCATCCAGGGATTAGAGATTTCGTGCACGTTCGTTGGATGCGCCAGCGAACTCTTCTCCCACGTTATCGTTCGTTACCTGCTGGATTCCTACTCGTACCACCGGTTGAACTTTTCTTCGATATTTATTTCGAGAGTGCGGAAGCTTGCAGTGAAGCTACCGTTCGAATTCGAGCCAACAAGAGATTGGAGATGTTCGAGGCAGTAAAGAGCAGCTACCTTAATTGCAAAATTGAATGTAGTTCCGATGCGATTCGATCGACGACATCACATCACATGAAAATTCGCGATCTTCTCTATTCAACAATTCATGGCATCTTCTATTCTCCGAGTTTATACGACGCATAAATTTTTTGGAACTCGCAATGTAATGGATAAAGGCTTTCTCTGCTAAACCAGACGGAGGCCTGAGTTTATAATAAATTCATAAGTCAGCAGCCGTGTTATTCTTAATTTCATATTCTAGTCGCTTTCATATTCGTCGGACATGTTTTTTTTATGCCTAGATACCTGATTGACTCAACATTGAGACACGAAACGCGGCGATGAATTAAAGATGATCACTTTAATTTTCAACGAAGATTACAGCACTTTTTTTAATTCCTCTTCAATATCGAATCGTTCGCGTCGTTAGTATATTCGTGTTGGTTTGTTGAGTTCGGGCTAGTTTCGAATAATAGAACCCGCCTCACGAACACAAATATCTTTATTCAAGTTTTAATTAACTCAATTACAATATCCTTCTTCGCGTGGCTAATAACGAACGGTATCAACCCGGTGAAAAGCCGATATCGCATTCGCCCCTAAATTTTCCCGACTCAACGACATGATTGGGAAGCCTTAATCGTAAATCAAATTATGTACCGAAATTATGCAATTAACGTCTTATGGAATGCAACCGGAGGTAGATTCTTAAATATCTCGAACAATATTGAGGTCGAAACAATCATATTTCTTTCCGTCCATCCTACCTTTAATTTCAATCGCAGTATGCATGTTTGTTACCTAATTATCTGTTTCCAAATTGTGTTTCTTTGGAGGCGACGTACATCAGCATTTTTAGTTCGTCGACGGTTCGACAGATGGCTCGATGCAAGTAGCGATTCTCGCATTCGGTATATCACTTTAAATGTAACATAAAGCCGGCACAAGTTGTCACAAGTTTAAAAAGGGTACTCGCTACTTTAATAGCGCGTCGATACGGTCAAGTGCCGTGTTGGCGGGGTATGGCCAATCAAGACATACCCAATACGTAATTTTTGTATATGCGGGGCTGTTGGCTGCCAATTTTGCACCGGCGCCTCCATCTACTCAACCTAATAATAATTTAATAGCTTAACTTAATAGCAACTTAATATAATGATAATAATAATAAAGATTCTAATAACGAATCTACTGTTCAGTGTCATTAAAAAAATTGTTAGAAATTGATTTGCATCATTAGTAAGGGTAATATGGCAAATCGAAAATTAAAGCGAATGATGATCAATGGTTGTGATCGTGCTATACATCACCGAACAGATTTAAACGTCACGCGTGGCTGACGCGCGACCACGTTCCCGCCGCTATAACAAATTTCAGTTTGAGTTTGTATTTGATATTGTTACCGGTGTTGAAGCATAAAATGATTAGACAAAAAAGTTGGGAACTATGGCATTTGCATGTAAAGGAATTAACACGTCCACAGGCAAAGCTTCAAAAATTCATTATCGTTTTAAACCTCCATCCCTCGTTCTTTCATCCAATTTTCGAAGAAGAATGATCTGTTCGGGGTCGTACCATTTTTCACGCCCGATCCACGATACCGTCCGAAACTTGACATTCGGATGAGACATATTCTGGAGCTTTCGACATTGACCGCAAAAAAATTTATGTAATCGCTAACAAAAGAAATATGCTGCTTGATTGATAGCTATCCGAGGATCCGACTATTACAGCGGACACTCGTAAATTCCATCTGTTATGCAATCCACTTGCCGCTTCGTAATATTTATCTTACGCAATGTGTAACGTAACACACGAAGATGCGACGCCGCCGCATTCTTTCTCATTTTCCTCGCGTATCGTCACATGTTAGCAGACCAAATAGACACGAATGACCGTATCGTGTATCACAAAAGAATGGAAAAAAGAGAATGGCGCGCTTATAATTCAAAATGAGATAGAAGCGATTTCGCATCGTGTAGCATCTGGCAACCGAGCGGAATAAACATCGTGAGGGCGCGTCAGCGGAACAAACGAACTTTCTGATCGCCGTTATTTCGCTCGATAAAACGGAATACGCGAATTACACGGTGCGCAATGAATTTTACGAATTTTCGATTCGTTGCGAAGCAAACGGACACAGAAATAACATACTCGACTAGTCGAACGGGACACTGTTGCACATATCGCGTAACTCGAAATAAGTTTAGAATAATAATTAATTAATTCTGCAAAGGGTTCGAGCGTCTTGCGCGATGGAATTTAATAAAATGAAATAAGCAACAGGAGAAAACGAGTTTAGCACGTTATTGCGATACTACAAAGAGGTGATAGACTACAAAGGGCGTATCTCGTATCGGGAGCCAAGACAACGTTACACAAACTTGCTTTATAGCCTATTGTTGGTGTATTGTTTCAGACTTTGGTGTTCGCTATATGGTAAGATACGCGTGAGAACGCGAGGAACGATCCATAGTTGGTCATAATTATCGTCGCTTTTGCAACAATGTTAACGGCGGAGTCATACTCAGGTTTGCTAAAACGAAGCTATGGAGAAGAAAGGTTACGCTGTCGACGTCCCATTAATATCGCATTAATGGCTATGGAAACAGTGGTATTCGTGTAACGCGTCTCAAGCAACATATTTGCAAACGATACACCGTAGTGTTTCGTCCAAGGGATAATTAACGTAGAATGCACGATTTGGTTTGCAGTTTGCTACGATCGACCTGTGCGGTCAAGAGCGCGTGTGATCCTACATTTAATTAAAACTCGATCGGCCAATATTACGATAGGGCTACGCTTATATATACCGAAATACAGTTGTGTGGAAATATCGTTCGGCTCGTTTATCATAGTCCCATGCATGTGACCACGGATATCCACGCCGATGTGCAAACTTGCATCCTGCGTCTGTGCCTTCGTTAGGATGTACCAACATGCTCGCACAACCAAGGCAGCCTCAGCTGGCGACCAAATCGCGTTATCTTGCAACGTGTTACTGAATACCGTTCCTACTGCACGATAACTTATTTCTGCATTCTCAACTTGTTCAAGAAATTTAACTCACTAAGCTGAATTCGTCCCGCTTTCGAAATAATAATCGCTTCTCATCTGTGTTGGACCGGATAACTTTACTTCCGTCGTGAATGTCGGTGACAACCGGCGTTCGTTGCATCCAGTTCACCGCGTAGAAATTCATCAAGGACCAAGGTAACGTTACTTTTATGAAAAACAGCCGGGAGAGGCCGTCGCGAATAAAAACGAATCGCTAGGCGAAATTCCAGCGTGAAGAAAGAAGAGATAGCCCGACGAATGTCGGAGAGATGGAAAAAGCGGGTGAAGCACGTGCCGAGTCGCAAGCACAGCAACGTCTCTACGTGTACATGAGTACTTTTTACCGGAAGTAAACGCGAAAAGCAAAGAGACCGAGCGTAACGTAGCTAGCTATAACGAGAATACCGGGTCTCGCTGAGCCGTCACTCTGCGAATGCGTGTTTATCGTCACGCTGTTTATACATTGCATAATTTCTTCGGCTATGGATAGCAGCCAAGAACTTTTTTTGAAGAAACTAAGACACGCTTAAAGCGGATATTTCTCGACAAAACGTCCGTTTAAATGAAATATTCAACCCTGTGGGATATTCGAGCCGATACTCCGTACAACAGCCTTCTAATTACTTACGCACTGTATCCGATGACAAAGACACCAGCTAGAAACCGGTGCTGTGGAATTAATCGTTTGTATAATCGTACCTCGCTGCTCCCTTTAATCAAGATTAAAATAAAGGTTTCCGCCGTAGAAGTAAGTAGCAAATAGCAGAACGACTGCAATAGGCTTGTAATATTGGTCAGCCCTCTTCGAACGAGAATTAAACCTCTCTTGTGTTACGAGCGTATTTCCTCGATAACGTAAAGTCTCCGTTATTCTGTATTCCCCAGCTTGTTACCAGGTTCTATCGTATCTAAGATGTAAATATATGTTGTACAATTGCCGAAAGCCGACTTAAGTTGTATATTTTTTTCTTTTATCCAAGAGAAACATATTACCGTACCAAATGGCAATTTCCTATAGCGGTGGTAATTTGTCAGGAGATTCGTATATTTGCATTTCAGATAAGATCGCGGCTAGCTCGTGTAGAATGTTTAACGATTCCTGGCTTCTGACTACGCATACACGAGAACATAGCTGTTATACAAAGCGTAGACGTTAGCGATCTTCAAAAAGGAACGATTACATTCGCCAAAACGAAGGAATAAGTAACGAGAGTCGTTTCGCTTTTTTCAACGTTTGAGATTCCGCGGTGGTTCCACGGGGAAAAGAAGCTCTGCTCGTTTGGAATATTATCACGTACACCGACATTACGGGATAGAATTACAATAAAGAAAAGAAAAATTTTGTGAGTTGTCACATTACATAGAAAAACCGTAAATATCTACTTTCAGAATAGTACTGTTGCGAGCAGTAGCAAACGATGTAATTCCTCGTTACAACGATTAACTTTATCTATCGCGAGATTTGAATTCTTGCCAATGCCGTAAGACATAGAAATTACAGTTATGTACAGTGCGCGACGTGTTTTCGTCGTGCAGTTTAAGAAATCTTTGAAATACTTCGGACATATGGAGTTTCCATATCTTTCTGAAAGTGAAGGAAGTCATAGTGAAGTAGGTCTGGTCATGGTCAGACCGTTGAATCGTAATCGCGCACGCAACTCTTGCCTTACGACAAACCAACGTTGGCACGAAGTTAAGAGTTCACGAGACGGACGTATGTGTTCCCAAGATACTTTACTTTTTTCAATGTAGCAAAACGTTACTTGGCGTGACACGAAGTGAATTTCCCGTGGGTTTTTCGATTCACCCGGTGAACGCAACGCAAAGTAATCCCAAGGGTCGTTCAAAAATATGTATCAGCAGCATCGGCACCTCATTGATTATTTAACTCTGAAGAAATGTAAGGATACATATTGCCGCTAGGTCCGTGCGTCATTTGGGAGTTTGAAACTTGAAAGACACGAAGAAGCTAATGATATAAAGTTTGCGTGCCTTCGGGGTCGTTACGGCGACCAAGGGACTGTTCGTAGCAGACGAGTCGTATAAGTCAGGTGATATTTCACTAGGGAACAGCTCTTTCTCGTGACCGAATCGATAACGTGAATTTTTCAGAACGTTACCCTAATATCTCCCTTTGTGATGCTTTGGCTTGAGGTTTCCACCAATAAAACTATAATTCCTCTGATTGAAAAGGTCGAAGATTCTTCGCGTGTGTGCCATTGATTGTACCTGTTGACCTTCCCAAAAAGTCAAGCATATACATATGTAAACAAACAAATCAGAATAATAAAATTCTTCGATAAAAATTTCTTAGGGCGCGTAATAAATGTATTCTCGGTGATATACACAGTTTGGTTAGAAAGTGGCACGAGAATGACACGATTCGTGTTACTAGTTGATGATCAAAAAAAAAAAAGGAAACGATAAAGAGCTTGCACCGATACTCTCTCGTCTGGAAAAGCGATTTCGACGTTGATCCGTCAGTTATCATCGTCAAGCTAGCACTCGTTAATCGAGGCAGCTGGTGTTGGTTCAATCGCTCTGGTGACCGAAGGGCAAAGCCCCAAGTGGTATTGTCGTGATATCGGTAGCACGTTAGGCACGCACTGGCGTAACGAATGCAGTTGTGAGTGTGACCGGCAGATAGCCGAGATTTAATTAAAACGCGCTCTACGATCGCCTACGGTGACAAACAATTGTGAAATCGTCTCGCATTAGGTAGGGGTTGAAAAAACAATGGGTTCTGTTCAGGCTGACGAGCAACCTATCCGTTACCCCTCAGGACCAAGCGGAATTATTCGATTCGCGTTTGTATATATCCTTTCCGTCAAACATCTCACCTCTTTTCTTTTCCTTCCACGCCTATCTAACTTTTTCCATGTTATACTTTTACAGATCGATTAGAGAATTCTGTCTTGTTTAACTACTTATACCGTGAAATTCACCTTAATTACTTTTATGTGCACTTAGAAATTTCCTGCCTAAACGCGACGAATAAATTGGGATATCTCGCCTGGCGCAGGCCTCTCTGTTAATTGCGTGGAAACTATGCCGGATAGAATAACGACAAGCGAAAGCGTCCGGAACAATTTGCTCTATGTGTTAAACGTAACCGCTCTTTGCTTCTGCTATTCTAATGCCGATCGATTTACCCTACAGCTCGAATATCTCCTTGTCGGGATCCTTGACCGACTCTAATTATTACAACTGCAGTAAGGAACGATCGATCTTGTACCCAATATAAATAACCACGCATCGTATTTTTGAAAGAAAGTCGATCTTTAATCTCCATTTGTGTATCACAAAGTAACGAGTTCTGCAAACCGAATTGCAAACAACAAAAATCACGTACAACTATTTCATTTATTCTACGAGCATCGTATATCACAGGGAAAACGGATAGTCACTTGGGACGAGTAGGATTTGTGTCCTTCATCGGAAGTTTCCTTTATCACATTGCTATAAATATACGAGAAAGACGAGCTTAAACTAATATCGATAATTGAGGTTGTCTGATAAATAATTTTGCAAGAAATCGGTCACCGCACCTAGAAATCGAATCAAGGGTATTCGCTGCTTTTCTTACCAAGAAACAAATGAAAGAAATGACAAATTACTCGTGTTGAGATAGCTACGATTCCCTTTGGTAATTCCGCTGTATCAAAGCCGTATTTCCAAGTCGCGGCTAACGATGTTCGGGATTTTTCAATTGCTTAATCTTCTCCTATCTCCATTGAAATTAAAGTATGCCCGGAGCTCGGAGCATCGTTATCTTCGAATAAAATTCTAAGTACTCCGATTTATCTTCCACTCGCGCGCATAGATTCCATGATAGAAATGAAACGACTACATTTACATAGAAACTCTTCATTAAACAGATAGAACGTGGAAAGTACGTATCAATGTAAAAATGAATAACATCTATACGTTTCTTCTTGATCTTCGCAGGAGAAATTTAGTCGGATTATAATCGTAAATTGCTACTTGCCACAAAAAGGGGATGAAAAGTTACGACCACACTGCAACAGTACGAAAGCTATGAGCGGTGGCCTAATCGGTGAAAGTCTAATGTCTGGAAAAGTAGGAACCTGTCGAGAGCACCTGAAGCTAGATGTTTGAACCTGCTACTGACCAATTCGACGATCAATTCGAATATACCCGACGTTGCCGCGTAGAAACTTCGCAACTAGCTCTTTGACGATAATTCGGAAATTCAATCGACAGCAAGCACTCGCAGTCAGACCTCTAAACGCATTAGCATAACGTATGGAAAGACGTCACACGGGAAATGCCCGATAAGCAGAACGTGAATGTGCATATGTCGTTTCTCGGTAAACGTTGGAAAGGGTTTCACGGCTGAAATGTTTTATTTTAAATGCGATTTGCTTAACGATTTGTTAGTTTTTAATCAGTGCCGACTTTCGGTCAATTTTTCACTTGGTCGTCAAATGTATCAAACACGCTACCAATGGTATTTGTGAAAAGAAATTTAGGTCGAACTGACCAGTGCGATTCATTTTATTAATTCCACGAGTTGTTCGCGAACAAAAAGAAAAACAACTCGAAGCTGAGCTACGAAGCCAATAAATTTTCCGGCAGGAAAAAGCTCGGACGCACCAACGGAGCCAGCAGTTTTATCATTTTCCGAGGAGCAAAACTCCTACCAAGTCCTCGGCCGTATTTTCTAACCGTTCGTTTTATATTCATAACATGTCTCTCTGTACTAGACCGACTACGAATAAATCATGTTACCGGGTAAAAAGCCAAAATGTAAGATATGTCAATGTCTATAATAACATGATCTATTATGATTCTATAACATGAACGAGTATTTATACTAATATTCACGTGTATACCAAAGAATGTCAACTACCTGTAAATAGTTCTAACTGTATCGTCGATCGATCTCTGATGCAACACGTAAGTTCTATAGCGAACAGAAGTTATGGAAATTTCATGAATGAACAAATTAAAATTCATAATGAACGCGGTTAATTTCTTTCTTCTAAATAACGCTGGATGATACTCGAAAGAGCAAGGAATGAACTCTTGAGCTCTTGTTTTTACAGCATTTATCTCTACCGACGATCATATAAATATTTGAAAAATAAATCTGCTTCTGCTTGGTCTTTGTTGCAGACAGTGTCCGTGACCGTGAGCATATTGACCCTAACTTTTATATCGATAGATCGATGGTACGCTATATGCTTTCCCCTGAGATTTAAGTCTACCACTGGACGAGCAAAAAGTGCGATCATCGGAATTTGGGCGATAGCCCTTCTATTTGGTAGTTAAATATTAATTTAATATCTTTCCTTAAATAGCAATTCAGTGAAACAAGCATATAATTCATGTTTAGAGTACGCTTTTATGGAATAGTTTATTCGAAAATTAAGACACTCGACATATTATATTTAATTACTGACAAACTATGAGAAAAACCATGCATCAACGCTCAACGTTTGTACAGATATTCCAGATCTCGTGGTGTTGCATACCGTCCCACCTACGCACATCAAAATAAAGACCGTTTTATTCACGCAATGCGACATATCCTGGAGTCAAAGGAGCCAGGTCGCCTTTACTATCGTCAAACTAATTTTCCTTTATACCGGACCTTTGATCTTCATGAGCGTAGCCTATTGGCAGATTGTAAAAGTCCTTTGGAGGAGCAACATTCCAGGACATAATTGTAAGCAAACGATCGATCTACGTTTCCTTTGTATTTTTTATTCTACAAAGAAAATTATACGTAATCGATGACCGCGCGTTTATACGCGTAACGAAGCTATTATAAAATATTTCTAGAACATGCTCGTACAGGTCATTGTACGTTTTTCTTCGTTAGTCAACAACATTTCGTTATCATTAATTATACTATTACTAGTTTGTGTCATATTTGGACACATTCCAGTAGATTCATTGGAATTTATTTCATTGGAGTTTACAATCTCTATTTGTTTTGTTTACATCAGAAAAATAATCTCTATTTGATAATAATGTCGACTTTCCTTTACAGCAATTTTTCATTTCATTCGTTACTTCAGCTATATATACGTAAAGTTTACAATTGCTCTCCATTATGTCATTTCTCTTTCGATTTAAAAAATTATTGAAAGCTTCAGAATGAGCATATACAGGATCCAACTGTTCATAACGTCTTTTTAATTTATTAACAATCTTTTTCATATCATCAGAACGATCTTTCTGTAAACATAAACTAATAAACATAGAGAATATATCCTGTTCCATAGAAGAAATAGTTTTCTTCTCCTTTACAACCAACTGTGGTTTCAATAATAATTTATTTTCCTCTTTTCCTTTTTCTGTTTCTTCCTCCTCCTTCGCATTACATGCTTTAACATTAGCTTCTTGAGAATTAACTTGAGAATTTTTGTCAATACAAGAACTATCAACATTTTCTATTTCAGATGCTTTTCTTTTACGTCTTTTTACTGCTTCATTGTCACACAAGGAAGCTTCTACTCTTATAGTAGTTATTAAGAAGTTAGAATGGGAATTATGATTATCTTTTACTAATTTGATAACTGACCTTTGTGTGTCATCAGTTTTATTCTGAAACAATAACATTTTGAACTCTAAATGTCTTTCAACATGTTCATAACTTATTAAGCATAGATATATCACATTATAATTGCTAAGAATTTACAGTTGACATAATTATATATATTTTAATGTAACAAGATATACGAACCTGTCTTGCATCTTCATCATCATCTGATGAGATACAAATAATGTCATTCTCCTTACTAACCATATTTATTATTTTATGAAAAAGTTAGATTATAATATTACAATACATGACATCCATCACTTATCTTGCTGACAAAAAACGATAATCTCCTTACTCCTACAGGATATTCGTATCATCACGATCATCTTTTCTTATCGACAGTATCATTAGTATTCAACGTTCGAAATTCCAAACTGCGAATAACTGCGAATGTATTTAACGCGACATTTAACCTTTTCGTGGACGTTTATTTTACAGTTAAACGTTTAAGCTGTGTCCAATCAGTAATATCACGGTCGTAGCAAAAACTAACCGATAACTCTACGACATAAGTAATAATACCAAGCATTTGCAGTACCGTCACGAGCATCCCAGATGAGCCAGATCCCATCGACCGGTGGCGGAAATCCGGAAGTGCAGCTGAGATCTCGACGAAAGGCGGCAAAAATGTTAGTCACGGTGGTCATCACATTTGCGATTTGCTATTTCCCTGTGCACTTACTCTCCGTTTTAAGGTATCTTCCACTAATCGATATGTTACACAAGTTCAATTTACCCTAATGTCCGACATAACGTAATGTAACAAACAAAAACACTCAAATACTTCGGTTATGGACGAACACGTGTGTTACAACAGTTGGGATGGAAACGACATTATTGTTCAAAGCAAATTGATGTCCGTATTATTTAACGTTTCAGGTATACCACCACATTACCATCCAATAAATGGATAAACGCCATCAGCTTAATCGCGCATGGCCTATGCTATTTCAATAGTGCAGTTAATCCTCTGATCTACAACTTCATGAGCGGTAAACGACTTTTGACTTTCGTTAATTTTAAACAAACAATAGTTTATCGATCGTGCTTCAATTGCGCGTGTCAGATAATTTTATTGGACAATTGGATTATTTTTTCGCGATTTGGTCGACCAACAGCTTATACTGCTTCTAAATTTTATCGCCGCATACTGTCAGGTGACTTTCTATGGATTTTATGGATTGCACGGTGCTGTACCTCTTTGATCAAAAAATAATTGACAAGCTCGATACGATCGATTTACTACAGACGATCTGATACATAATGCTGATACGTAAAGATCCATGTCACGCTACTTCTTGTGTTAATGGAATAAGGTGATTCGTTCCTATGTGCGAATAGAATATTTAATATAATTGACTTTTGGTAAAATTCTTCCTTTCCTCCCTTCTCTTCTGCTGTCTCTTGCTTCCTTTTCTTTTCACCCTTCTAATGATTCTGAAGTTATTTCTAGATATATGTACGACTATGTATAGATTCAAAATGAATCACCCTATTCATTACGAAATCTATCTTCTTAATTCATTACGAAATTCAAAACTTATCAGAGAGCTCTCCTCACGGCTGTTATTAACATGCACCTCCCCAGATATTTCTATCTCGTTTACTTAAAGAACTTGGTAATTAAATGAAGCGATGTTTCACTGTTTAACTGATAACGACTTTGGTGTTTCTAACTTTCAGTTTGCACTTTAAAATGTACAAGAGTTCGAAAAGAACAATGGCACGATTCTTTTACTGAGTTGATCGTTATATTATGCCACTTGATTCAACAAAGTTTTGCTGTAACTTCTTTTCAAAATGCTTTTCGGGCAGCAAAGGTGTACATATCGTTTAAATACATTTCCAAATTTCGAAAGATACTTTAGTTCGTAAGAAAAAGACTACACATACCTGTATTTCCACTTTAATAATTCCGACTCGTAATGAAACCGGAAATAGAAACGATGGCAACGGTGAAAGCAAAAGGAGATATTCAGCGTATGGTTTGCAGGTAAGTTCCGGCAGGAGTTTGGTCGTACATTCCGAGAATGCACGCCTTTGAACCCCACGAACGATCGCAGGCCAAACCAGCAACCCAGCTACGCTTACATGGCAAACGAATGTCGATCTGCATCGCAAAGTCGTCGTGAACAATTCTGACATGCGGAAATACGAGTCTCTTGGGTGAAAAAAGTCCCTAATACAGTCTTGGAAGGAACTCAGGCCGAAAACGAATTTGTCCAGGATCGATGTAGTCTTGGGTTTTGTCCTCCGCAATCTCAATTACGCTTAGGGTGAGCTGTATTATATTCCACAGTTATTGGCCACCTTACAAAACCAATTTCTCTTTTACCGATAATCTTTATTAACCTTTTCGTTTTAATTTAACCACTTCACTATACACATAACCGACGATACAAGAGAAGTAAACTTTAAAATCTAATTTCGAGAATCGGAATTTTTCATTAGAAATAAACAATCGATCGATGATCACTTAATTGTCTTAAGATGCAGACGTAGAAGGCGTTTTGATAGGCATATCTGAGACTTAAATGATCTATTAAGAATTAAAAAGTATGCTTAAAATAAAGGTCGATAACGAAATATTATATAGCTTACCCTTTTCGTTAAAGTTATAATGAAAATTGAAGTCAAACGACAATAATGATGTTAATCTTAATTATAGTATTATATCTCGATTTAAGCTTTACAACGACCCATTCTTTCAAAGTAATACAAACTTAAAACAACGCAAATTATCTAGTTTGTATATAATGTACCTGTAAAATATTACAGAAAGTATTCAATAATTAATCAAGGACTTTTATTACAGGGAAATTTCGGAAGGCGTTTAGGCGTACATTTCGCTGTGCTCGAGAGAATGGTTCTCGAATACAGCGTGGATATCTTGCGAGCACATCTAATTTTCCTCGAATAAAATCTCGGACCACGACGATACGAACGACGTTTAAGAATAACAATAACCTTCAACGAAATACCGAAATTATACCTCTCAGTGCTATAACCACTATTCAGCAGAATGAAAAACACGATTGATTGGATGCATATACACCAATAATATGACTATCAGATGCGCAGTAAGATTCACAAGTAATTTATTTACATGTAATTTGAATTTTAATACTAATGTAGAGTATAAAATATTACATAAATATAACAAAAACACTATGTTCCACTCGGTAGTATTTTAAATAATAAAAAATACTTGTGAAAACGATTATATTTAATTCCCAAATTCATAAAAATTGGTAGACACTATAAGTTCCATTGAAAAATGGAATCATCTGATATAACGAAACATTGAATATTATTGAATTAATATGTAAAATGTACTTACAATATTAAAAATTACCACATAGAAGCTCGATGTTTATTCTCGCAGAGCGTAAACTATAACATAGGCACATATGAATTTGTAAATCATTCTTCATAATAGAATGATTGTATTTAGAACTATTATATTGTATGTAATCTTCAGACGATACATAAAGTTCGCTGACAAAATTGTATGTAAAAACTTTAATAAGATATAAATAATATATACTATCGCTATGTCATAAATATATGATGTATATCTTATATTCTGTACAATTCTACTAGCACTTCATATAGTCTTGACCGAATTTATCTTCAGTCCACAAAAATTACATTTTTACCGCATATGAGAATCATTTAACTGAAAGATCAATCCCACTGTTTATATGATGTCAACACTGTTAATGAAACTTTTATACAAGTTAAAATTAATTGATAGGATCCGTACAATTAAAGTTTATGCAAAACTTAATAAGTTAAAAAGAGGAAAATAAATTTAGTCATTTATGGAAAAAACTTCTTATCAATATATTATCTTTCCATTCCACCTTGCCAGTAACAAAGCATATCTTCATAAGCGTATTTAAAAAAAAAAGAATAATCGCGGTTTGGACTTCTCATAGCTATTACGAAAAGCCGATTAACATTTATTAACGACAAATTTAATAGTTAGTATTACCTTTGACTTAACTAGACTTTAAGATACAGTAAATTATGTAACGATTATTTCTTTATGATGCAGATTAAAGATTTCTTTTGTTCTAGTGTAATATAAGTAAAATTAAAGCATTAAGTAGTGGTTCTTTATCTAATAAATGTACTTCATTCATCCACCGTTTACTTGAATCGCAGTACAAATTTGTTTATACACGAAAAACAATACATACTGAGGTTACTGACCTGACTATATCCTATTTACAATAGCCGTTGGTATTAAAAAGATATATCGATTTATTAGTCATTTTACCAGCCGATGCTGCATGCGTTAATACTCGATATACAATAATATGTTTAACACTAGTTGCCTCTACTAATAATTAATTATTAGTAGACTTCGTATATGAAAGGACTTTAACAATATAGAAGGGTGACGTTTAATGACAGCAGCAGATCGATGGAATTCGTAGTGAAACATTGATACAAATGTTACCCACGAAATATACAACAATATGCTGAAATTAGATAGTCATTCAAAATATATTTTAGACACGCACACATCCAATTCCTAAAGTATCTCACAAATAATTTGTGAAAATCATTTTCCTATACAAATTGCATGGTAACGTCAATAAAATTACACAGTATCTTTATGATATATGTGTACTCATACTCACGAAATGTCACAATTATGTCTTTCGCAAGGAACGTTACACGCTGTATGATGTTTTTTCAAGCTACTGCTTCTTCAACAACTGTACTTTCAGTCGTTGTATTTTCTACTTTGTTTGAATCATTTTCAGCCTTTTCAATGACTGGTTCCATAGCTTTAAGCAAAATAATATTTTCCTCCTTCATAGTGACTTTTGATGAATCATTAGCACTTATATCGTCTAATTGATCGGTAGTAGTATCTCCCAAATTCAGTGGTGTTCCGATATCAAGAATTTTAATATCTTTTTCGGTATTCTCAACCACAGGATTCGCTATTGCACTCGAACCGTCGATTTTCTCTGTTTCTTGAATTTCTGCTTGTTCAATTTCTGTATTATCGAACTGTTCTGGCACAGTCTTCTGATCACTTTCTATTGAGTTAATTTTAACTTCTTGTTCAGTCTGTTGTGTATTACCAAGTTGATTTGTTTGTTGTGGCTGTGTGGTTTTACCTCTTCCTCGACTGGTCTGATGTTGATTCTCTGGTGGTGGAAGAATTGGAATAGCTGCTTTTGGTCGTCTCATTGGAGCTGATTGTTGTTGTTGCTGTTGCTGCTGCGCTGGACTATAGTAAGTACAACCTTGCGGTTGAAACAATTCTTGTGGAGGTGGAGGACGTTGTGGCTATAAAATATCAAATAAAAAACATATGTGATAATTTTTAGATAATGTAACTTAAAAAAAAGAATAAAAGATTTTGTAGTAGAAAAATGTACCTGTACTGGTGAACTATAACCTTGATAACCTTGGAAATTTGGTTGAAATGCTGGTCCATTTGGACCAGGAACGTAATTAATTATACTAGGTGGAGCAGTTTGTGGAGAAATAAACTGAGGTGGTGGTACTAAAAATGGTGGTGGAGCATAACTGGCAGGTTGACCATTAGGTGGTATAGGAATTACAGGCTGACCAGTCATAGGTGCAGTTGCAGTAGCAACAGATGTGGTTTGTTCAAAATGTCCTTGTGGATATCCTATAAAATTGAAATATATGCTATGAGCATTCATTTAAGTGCGTAAATATAATAAAAAATAACACGCAAATATGCAGACATAAACAATTATGTTTACTTAACAAAAAAAACAAATAAATAAAAAATTATACACACATAGTAACCTACATTCTTACCTTGTGAATCTAAAACACCTCTTGAATTTCCAGCTAAATACATATACATACAAGTTAAATATTAATACAGGATATTTGATGTACCATATCTATATTATTCACTCACCAACATATTTTATAGATAATAACATTTCTGAGTGAATTTGTATCTTATTACCTTGAGGAGGAAAATATCCATGTTGACCATGCTGACCATGTTGATTGTGTTGATTGTGTTGATTATGTTGATTGTGTTGTCCATGTTGCCCATGTTGTGGTGGATAATTTTGTGGTCCTGGATTATCCGAAACAGTAGATCGCTGTCGCAAACTTGAATAACGTTTTGGCCTATTAGCAGAACCATCTTGCTGCTGAATTGATTGTTGTTGTTGTTGCTGTTGTGGTTGTTGTTGCTGCATTCTTGGAGGTACCGTTCCTGATCTCTGCTGATTTGAGGACTGTCCATAGAAGCTTTCTAAAAGAACATCAAGAAACAAATTAGTATGAAGATGCAATATTACACATGATTCAAATACTCACTATTATGTCTTCCACTTTGATGATATTGAGTACCATCAGTAACGCTAATGTGTTTCATGTCATGAGTAATTTGCTGCTCATCATCATTCTGTATATTATTTCTCTTATTCTCAGTCGTAATCGATCCGGTTCCGCGTCCCTTTGGTTTGATTTCAACTGTTCTATTGGTGACCATATTGTTATTAGCATTTGTTCTGAATCCTCGTCCACGTGTCCTACTCGCTGCCAAGCTTACAGACTCTTGAACGTTCCTCTTGTTATTATCTCTTGAAGATATCTTTGTATTAATCAATTTATCTGCATCACCACCAGCTCCACTATTTCCATTACTGCTCTGAATGTGAGACGAATGTTTAGTATCCTTTTTCCAGGCTGGATTTGTAGGTTCATTAGGAGCCTTATTTTCATTCCTGTATATCAAAATATTGAAATAAATTTTATTAAACATATATAAGTAAAAGAATCTAATGGTTTAAAAAATATTACATACGTATGAGTATTAGACGTATTGCTAGATTTTGATTTCAGACTATCACCTTGAGCTTGTAGAGGTGGAAAATTTTGTACTTTATTCTGTGACTTATTCTTACTACTGTACCAAGCTGATGAAATTACTGGTTCTTCTACATGTGTGGAAGCATTCTTATTTGTTCCTAAAGCAGGAAAATCTTCTCCACTTCTATTGAACTTTCTATTTTTATTTGAAACATTACTTCCAGGCTTTCCATATGCATCTTCATCTTCCCAATTACGCGTATATTTGTTAGGACCACGGCTAAAAAATATAAAGCACATGATATGGAATGTTACAAACACTCTAATATTTTCAGAGATGTACTTACCCATATCTTCTTCTTCTTCTAGCTCTAGGTGGACCTTCTTCATTTCTTATGTCATAGCCATAAACAGCTATTAATTCTTCATGGCTCTTTGGTGCCTGTTCTTCATCATTATATCGATCATGATCCCATCTATCTTCTTTATCTTTCCATACTTTTTTTTCTTTGGTTTCTCTCTCATTTTGTGACTCAACTGCACTATCTGTTACTTCATCAATAGTTCTATCATCATGTTCATAAAATGTTCCCCTTTTAGGAATATATTGTGGGTTACGTCTGTCTTCATCATCATCCAGCTTTTTCTGCGGTTTTTCTTCTTCTTGCCCATCTCCACTTTCTCGCAATGCACCATCTTGAGATTCAGCATCAGAATCAGAAGGATAGATATCACATTCTGAATCCTGATGACCATCAGTTTGCTCGCTGCTCTATAGAAAAAGTTTATAAAGAAACTACAGGAAAATAAAAATGGGATTATAATAAATTAGGTAACGTCAATGTTAAAAAATTGTTATTGGAAGTTTCTCAGATATTATGAAAGTACATTTTATTTTGGTAATACAAAATAATTTTATTTGGATTCTGATATGCACCGAAATTGAGAAATTCGCCGCAAAACCACTTGCCGGTACATCGAACACAAAGGAAAGTCTCCCTAGTTACGATTATATTCAAAAGTATTACAGCAGTCTACTTAATCCACTTAATCGGATCTTCCACCGAACTTTCAATCCAGTTCAATAAAAAGAAAAAAAATTCGATAAACGACAGGAGCTCAGAAATCGTGAAAGGATGGTAAAACTATTTGTTTAAAATCTTCGAAATGTTTAATCGAAAACACCTTTGTAGCAGCTAACCTGGGTTTCTTTCGTTGCGTTTAATTCTTCACAAGAGTCCGAGAGGTCATCAGAACCACAAGACTGATTAGATTTTCGTCGTCGTCTTGTATCCGACATGTTATTTCAGTTGGAAGTACACGTTTTCGAATTATCACAGATTTTCGTCTATAAAATGTGAATAAATGGTCAACGCCAAATGACTTTTAAGGTCGAACTAGTTTATGCCTCTTTCTACTTCGATCAGTTTCCGATCTCGATTCTCGGTCATGAATCACAGGTTAAACGTATCAGTATTGAGAAGGCACACCAAACTCTTGAAATTTTAACAATAGAAACGATTTCGTCGAGTCGTCAGATTACTCAGTAGCAATGGCGGTTCTATAAACTTTCGAACAAGAGATCCCTTCTCCTGGTCTGTGCCAAATCGCTAGTAATTTGAATAAGAAGTATTTTACTAGACCCACTTGTATGGCGTCAAAGTTTCTCTCTTTCTCTCTCTCTCTCTCTCTCTCTTTCTAAATTAATTAATCTATTGAAAAAGAAATTATCCAATTTACATATAGAATCC